TATTGTTTTCTTTAGAATTTTTTTTTCTTTTTCTTTTGATCTTTTTCTTTTTCTTAGTTTCAGGTGTTTCTTATAAAACAAAAAAGCCAAAAAAATCAAAAAACCCGAAAAGACCAAAAAGAAGGATGGTACCTGACTGCTCGGCCCAGCAGGAACCAAGGAAAAGCGGGAAGAGGCCGCGATATAAGCCCTCGTGGTCGCAGACGTTCTGACCGCGAGAAACGATCCATCGGCCGCGGTCGCGTGATCCTGACCGCGGCCAAGCACTTGGTCGCCGCGGTCGTGCAGGCCCTGACCACGGCACTTGGTCGTTGACATCCAAACCCGACCCAAACCACCCCTTTCACCTCATTTCACCTCACCAATCACCCTCCACCTCATTCATCACCCTCCACTACCTTCATCACCACCTAATCACCTTCCCAAACCTCTTCGAATGAATCCGGTTCATCTCCACCAACATCCCGAATCCAGGTAAGTTCTCTTTGTTCTTACCAATTCGATTATCTATGCATTTTTCTCATCCAATCTCGACTTGTTTCACACTGAGGACACTGTGATTTAAGTCTGGGGGAGGATTTCATCCCTTTCTAACCACTTTTCTTTCATGAGTCTTGCATTATCTACACTTTTTGCATTTTCCTTAAAGTTTTTCAAAATCGGTTTTCAAAACAAAATACGTTTTAAAGGGAATGGTGAACATGAATTAATGATAGTTGACTGTGTGCTTTAGACTGTTCCTAGTGACATGCTCATTCATGATTTAGGACTAGACTAGGCGGTAGCTAAGCACATTTGAAACGAAGTACCCCAGAGGAATTTGAATAATTTCGATTTAGATGAAGTGATACACTAGCTCTGTTTTATTTGGACTTAATTTGGACTTAATTTTCTCATTGAAGCATTAGACCAGGGAAACGAATCATACATTCAGGACTCCTTTATCCTTTTACCACTCTCTGTTGATCCTGAATGGCTAGTTCATCTTTAGCTAGTTCCCCACCTTAACCAATCCTCTTTCAAACCACATGCACTCTTGTTTTCTATTGTCTTATATAACAACATGCACTCTTGTTTTCTATTGTCTTATATAACAACATGCACTCTTGTTTTCTATTGTCTTATATGCAGATAAGTGCAAAAACGTTGGAGAGAAAGAGGAACAACGCAGTTTTCAGTCACCAAGGACAGAGACCTGCGATTTGCCGGAAAAGTTCACGGAAGGATTCAACACAAGAGGAAACTCAGTTTGCCTTAGAAAAATCTCAAATTTTGGTACAATCCCATCCTCTAGTCTCTCTCTCTTTAAAAGGCATTTCCTTTCCACCAAAAAAAAAAAAAAATCCGAAAATAAGAAAAGAAAGGAAATAAAAGCCTTAGAGAGTCTAGAGAGGTCGAATTTTAAGTCCCAAGGCAACTGAAGTTTGATTTTATGGAGTTTTTGGAGATTGTTTTCTGATTCCCGGAAAGAATCTAAGTCTGGGGGAACAGCTGTTTACAACAAAGGAGGAAGGATTATGCAACAACATTTGGCAAGAAGAAGTGATTGAAAACTGTGGTCATCAACAGCTCTTTATCTCTCTTGCGGTTTTGCATATTATCTTGCATCCTCCAGATCTTCAGGTAACCCAAAACACTTTAACTCCACCACTTAAATAGCCCTTTAATGCCAAACGCCGTCTACCCTGGATGATGTCTTTAATGAGAACTCACTATTGAACGTAATGAATGTAGAGAGCTAGTTGACTGGAATCAAGATTTATATTGCTTAAGTTTTGCATGACGGAAAAAGTGGACTAGTATCTCTTGTGCTTTGGTGAGAATTTTCTAGACTAAGTTGTGGATTGATGCACTATCTTTGGTCCTAGTTTAGGAGTTCATGTCTATGAGATTTGTGCATTTCCTATTTTTGTTTTCACTTAACCAGTTTAGGCTTTTGCTTTGTTTGAGGACAAACAAAGGTTTAAGTCTGGGGGAGTTGATAACACCGTATTTTGACCACTTTTATGGATCGTTTCGAAATACTTTTTCTATGTTTTTAATTGCTTTTAAGTACTTTTATTACGATTTTCTAGTATTTGTAGTTCCAAGACTCTTTTCAGGTAACTTAGGGAAAAGCTTAACAAAATGGATAGAAAACCAGATTTCAGCTCAGAGTCAAACCGTCAGAAGTTCACCCCTGATTGAAGGCCTTCTCACCGTCTGATCCAGCTCAAACTTGGAGACCTTAAAGATGGAAGTATCAGCTTTCCAGTGCACTTTACAGCTTGGCAATCTAACGGTTCAATCAAATGATACGTGAAGAGCAAGATGTCCTGTAAACCAGCCGGCAAGCACTTCCACCCGCGGCCAACAAGCATTTTCCTGCGGTCAGGAGCATCCCGACCGCGGCAAACCACCCATTCCCTGCGGTCAGAGCACTCCCGACCGCGGCCATCAATCTCCGAGCCCAAAAAGCCCATTTCTGAAGCCCACATTTGGAGAAACCCTCAGTGACGTCCAGAGAGGTCTTGAGCACTATAAATACATGTCTTAGGAACCCTAAAAATCGGGTAACCTAATACCATCTATCATTACTTCATATTTTTATTGTTTTTGCTTTAGCTTTTAGGGAGAGAGAGATTTGTTCTCTTGAACCCTTGTTCTTTCTTTTTCAATTTCGGTTTCTATTCTACATCTTAATACTATGTCTTTGATTTCGTTTATTATGTCTGAGTAGTTTCATTGTTGGGATTAAGGAATTTTCGATGAGGATTTATATGTTCGATGAGGATTCCATGAGCTTTTGAGCCGAATCTTAGAACTTTTTCTTCTGAATTCGTTTTTACTGCATGAGAGTAGCGTCATGAACTACAATCTGATCCAGATGCTTGGTGACACGAAAGTGTTCATCAGGTATCAGATCTAGTTTGAGAGAGCAAAACAAACATAGGAGTGGAAACCTACCTATGGGCGATTTGTGAATTAGGACGAGTCTTAAACATAATGCATCTCTTCTCTTCCAGGGCCAGAGTGGAAACCTACTGGTCAGGGTTGAGAGAGATAGTTGTCTATGATCACGACAGTGGCGTATTCATACGTCCGTGACTCCAGTTCGAAAAGTTTAAGCTAAGATCTTATCAAATTTCCTCTCTAGCAATGTTTTGAATCGTTCGTACCCCTGAGAAAACTTCCCTGAACCCCAACGCCTTCTTCCTTATTGATTTACACCGATTTTTCTTTAAAGCTTTAGTTCAATATTGTCTTTCCTTTTTAGTTCATTTTCATTTAAGCATTAGAATATCCGTTTTTATCATTTTTAGTCATTTTCGTTAAGTTTAGTTATTACGTTATTTAATTTCCGTATTTTCTTTTAAGATTTCGTTTTTAGATTTTAAACACACTACCAAACCCCTACAAAACCGTTTTAGTTCTAGACTTCTTTACTTTAACTTATTTCAAAGGCTTTTTGCAGGAAACGATCCTCCTTCTCTGTGGATTCGATCCCTAAGTACTACAATCGATCAGCTGTGCACTTGCGGCTATTGATTTCAATTAGGGTAAAACTTGACAACCCTCACACTCAACACCACATCATACATCTGAGGAGAGAGGTACTTCGACGAAGAAGAAAACCCACAGAAAACAACTTTCTCTCTTCTAAAAATGCTGTCGCTTAATTCTTTTTTTTTAACCCTGAATTTAATCAAACGACGTCGTTTTGAATTCTGGAATTCAAATTTCTTATGTCTAAAACGACATCGTTTCAGGATCCGTGACAACGGGGCAGCCAACGTGGTGCAGGCCGTTTCTCCGTTAACGGAATAAGAGAGTTGACTAACGAGTTTTTGGTCAATGTTGATATTCACCGAGAAACGCATAGTACAGGTATGTATTGTCTACTTTTGAGGAGTTCAGGTATGAAATTGCACATTTAAATTTTTCAGGTATGAATTGATACCATTTTCATAGTTCGGGTAGGAAATAGCCGTTTTCCCCACTGATTGAGTATAGTCTATCAATTCTAATACATGGCAAAATTGATAAGTATTAGTGAAAGTATTCAAACAATGCAGGAATCAAGAAGATATAACGGTTGATCAGAGAAAGGCGGAGCCACACACTTTACAGTAACTGATTCTCAATCCCGTCAAACAAGGTAACTGAAAAGAGGTATCTCTATATACTTTCCACTTCTTGGTAAAACTTTAAGTTCCTGATAAAACTTTTATCCATAATTTAAATCATAGTGAAAGAATCTGAAACCTGGCCTCGACTCACATGACAATTGGACGATGATTTCTCCTCAACTAGCTTTTCCATTAGTTTTTAATTTAAACTCTAAAACTAAAGTTAGAATCAGTCTTCCATAAATGAGTGGATGGATCTTCAACTTTCAATAATTTGTCCTTTAAAACATGGTTTACTATATTTCTCTCTTACAAATCACGTAACAATGAGAGAAACATTTATTGTTTTTTTTTTTAAATCAGTTTGATATGCATGTTCTTTACTCTGTTGTTTCCTTCATCTAGCAAACCTCAACGACCGAAATATTTGTTGTTCTCCTAAAATGCTCAAGTGAAAGAAACTTATAAATTTTTTACTTAGAACGAAATTCTCATTGAGAACATTAATTTCTTACACAATAAAAATGACATTCACATTTCATCTCCTAAACAATTCTTTTCTCAGAATGAAAGAGGAAAAAAGGTTGATTTATTTACATTGATTAATACATAATGGTTTGACAAACTCCCTTATATAATTTTCTTGCAAACTTAATTTAAATTAAAGATACTAATCAATTTTTTTTAAAGAGGGGTAAAAAATAATTAGCCATCTTAAAATTGTATAAGAGAAATTAGAGCTAAAAATTTACTTCACTTATATTATATATGATATATGATTTATTAAAATTGTTTTACATATAACAAATATTTACAAAATAATATTACAACTATAACATTATTAAATTAACATTCGATATGTCTTGTAGTTTAAAGTCCCACGCTCTGACACTGAGGTTTTTTCCTCTCTCTCTCTTCTCTCTTCTCTCATCTCTATCTTTCAGAGAGAGAGAGTTTTTCTCAGTTTTTGATGTATATTCCGATTAATATGGGACGTTTTCCACTTAGATCGGATTTCTTATTCCGTTTATCGGATAATAATCTCCGATTTGTTCGGTTTTTTTCTCTTCCATCAATCGAAATCCTTTTGCTATCTTTCTTTGTTGATTCTTTCTACGTGATTTAATTAAATCTTTCACTAACTAATCCTTAGTGGGTGAAGGGTTTTATCATGTTAGAGGAATCATGGTTCTTTCTATGTTAAAGCAAAAGTTTTCGATTTGTATGGATGTTGTTGTTGTCCTTGTCTCCTCCGCAGATGGTAAGTGTTGGATTTTCTCTTCTTTAATTTTGATTTCATCGTCTCTCGGCTGGGAGTTTTATCTCCCCAATTCCCTTTTAAGAGCCTTGTCAAGGTAAAAGGTGGTCTTGAGTTAAAGATGAACGGTGGTCATTTTAATGAAGAAGTTGAATTCTGATTGAGTGGATCTCATGGAATCTAAATCGGAGGAGTTAAAGCGAAAAACAGAGGTGTTCAGGTGAAGCCTTTGGATGGCACAGGAGATTGCTTGTGATGGTGGTGAAAAAACTGCCGTCGACGGAGTTCCGGCGGAGATGCAGCGTTCTGTCTCTTGTTTTGCCACGTGCCCTTGTTTTTTCCTTTTTAAAACACGTGTGTATAACGTGTATCGTCATCTATTTGGTGTTGATCTTAACATTTGTAGTGGGCCTCTAATGGGCTTTGTAACACTTTTGTTTTGAATTTTACAATTAATAGATATGACGACAAAAAAAAAATTAACATTCGACAGCAAAATCTTTTAAAACGAATAAAAACTTTTTATATCCTTTCATCTCTCTTACCTCTCATCTCTCTTTCTCTTTCCAGCAACGACAAAACTCTTTCCCTCATGACTATTTTCTGAGTTTTTCCGGCATGACTGGCAGAGTCGTAGTCCCAACGCTCTTCTCCTTGTTTAGTCTTCTCTTCTTCTCTGATTTCCTCTCGTCTTCTCCGATTTCTCCTCTTTTCTCTGATTTCCTTTTCTCCTGTTTCTGTAAGGGTTTGTGATTCTTATTCTTCATCCGCAACAGTTGGGATGAGTTTTAAGTAGATTTTGTTTTTGATTTCTCATATGGACACTGTTTTTGCCTAAAATCAAAATCCTAACTTTTTAATTGGAGATTTGTTTCTTTTTTAATAGTTTCTTTTGAAATCTAGGTATACCATGTCATATTTTAGTGGTTGATGTAAGAAAATCGCTTAGATTTGGTTCACAAATTCGTGAAATCTGAGCTAATTTTTTGTTTATATAGTTTGAAAGAAATATGCATGGAATGTGTTTGATAGAATGCTTGAATGAACAATAAGTTTGCTATTATTTGTAGATTTCTTTGACGTTGTTAGAAATTGTTTACATGTAAACTTAGTATTTGTTTGTCTATGTTAGAAATTGTTTACATGTAGACTTATTTGATTTGGCAATTTGTTTCACTTTGTTGGAAACTAAAATTTAATTACTTTGATAAATTTGAGATAGGTTTAAGTTCTACGGTGAGGAGGATGAGCAGTGGATCTGGAGCTTTGAGTGGAACATCTCGAGCTCAAGGAAGAGTCATTGATGTGCTGAGGAGATGTTGGTGTGGTGATCAAATCGTGGCAAAGATATCCAGATCCAATGTGAATTCATACTTTTGTTACTATAGCCTATTAGCCTTCTAGTATTCGATCTAAAGTTTGTGTCCATAGTTAAATAAGTAAATAAGGCAACTACGTCGTTTAACAACAAATCTATAAGTCTACGATTACGTAAGAACAAGTCTACTATTTCATAAGTAAATTAGTCAGCTAATAAGCTATGTCATTTAACGACAATTCTATAAGTTTAAAGTAACGTCATAGGGAATATTAAACAAGTCGACCGCCAAATAAGTAAGCTATGTTTTTTAATTTATAAGTTGACGATAACAGCAAACCTTAAGACAGTATCGTTTTTTTAATGCATCAGAGATATGACATGTTAAAGCTGATGGATCAAAACCACCTATGAAATCTTTTTACAGTTGACCAAGTATCTCATGAGTTGCTTGTCTAGTCCATCCAGAATGTTCAGTTACAAACATGTATGCTCTACGACAAAGATCAAAATTAAAATCGAGAACAAATATCTCTAAATGAAATTAATACCAAAAAAATTGTAATAATAGTATTGAAAAAAGACTCTTTCTTTTGAGCGATTTTTTTTCACGATTAGGGTTTCTTTCTCTAACCCCCGATGATGGCCTCACGCCGGTTGTTGAGAACTTCTCCCTCCCCCCTTCTTACTACAAAGCTAGCGATGTCAGAGTTGGTTCATGATGTGGATCTTCCAGATCCTCCGGTATCAGGTCCTCCAAATCTGGTTATCGGCTCCCCGTCTCAGCCTTCTTCAATTTCAGCGGCGGATCTCTCAGTTGACCCTATTTCTTTTTTGATTCCAGCAGAAATTCCATCTTCAGCCGCGCCGTCGTATACTGATAGGTTCAAATCTTCTCTTCGCAACCTCCGGAAAATCTCTTCTCCCTCCTATCTGGAGGATGGGACTCTAGTTATGGAAGCTCCGGCCTCTATCCATCTTCAAAAAGTCGATCAATGCAAGGGCTACATCGTGGCTCATTTCCATGGATTAGCGCCTCCCCCCGACAAGATCTACGCAGATCTGAACCCAGCTTGGGGCAAATTTGGTAACATCTCTGTTCGACATGTCTCCAAAAGCTCTTGCCTCATCCTCATTCCTTCGATTCAAACTCGTGAGTGGGTTCTTCAGACTGGTTATTGGCAAGCTGGAAATTGTTCTTTCACGGTACCGCCATGGTCTCGGGACGGTTGCTTCCAGGTGCCAGATCTGGAAACAGCTCCTACTTGGGCAGTGTTAAAACCGGTCCCCTTGATTTTATATTCTCTGGATGGTATCTGTGTTACAGCAAGTGCCATAGGTGAGCCTCTTCATACGGATAAATCGAGGTTGGAGCCTTATCGTTACGGCGACACTAAAGTGAAGGTTGAGATTAACCTGGATAGTTCTCCTCCAAAGACTTGTGAAGGATAATGTGGGTAATACGGTCAGCATCGATATTGAATATCCTCATCTTCCCCCAACGTGCTGCAATTGTGGTCGGTTTGGACATCTTCGAAATAGGTGTCCTCATCCGTTCATGAAGAAACCGATCATAAAGATTCCTCAAGCAGGGATTGCTGTTGCTAATACTAAGATATCTCTCGAGAATTCTAGTTTTGAGGAGCAGGTGGTCGATCGAAATTCTCTGTCTCCACCTTCAGATTCTCAGTCTAAAATTGGAGAAAAGGAATTATTGGAGCTCCCTGCGTCGACAATCAATAACTCTATCGTTTCGAAAAGTGCTGCTGAAGGTTCCGTTATCAATCGAAGAAGTCGTTCTCCTTCTCCTTCAAAGGGCAAGGCTCTGAGCTCTCCCCCAGTAGTTCCATCTCACGATGCATCTTCCTTCAAGAAAGGTAGAGCCTTCATACCCAAGATCGTTAATGAAAAACCTGATCTTCTAGCTTCAAAGAAAGTGGCTGCTAGAAAAGAATCAGCTCTGTTGGAATGTCAGACAGCCTCTTCTGGAGAAGCTCCCATGGATGTTCGGTCTTCTCAGTCTGATCAAAATGATTGGAAGGTTTTGAGCTATTCCAAATCTAAAAAGAGCTCTGATTACTTAGAAGTTCGAGCAGATAAACCTTCTCATATTCCAGAAACGTCCAAACCATTTGTTACCTCTAAGAAGAAGGCTATGCAGAAAGCTAAGCAGAATGTGCAGAGTAATCTTTCAAAAATTTTGTGTCTTCCAAGAGTCTCACAGGGTAACACGGGGAGGGTTCAGGGTAGTTTCTTGAACCGTTCCTCCAACCTCTGAAAGTAGTCTTTCCCCTCCCTTTTGCTGTAAATATGAGGGTTTTCTGTTGGAATGTAAAGGGCTTAAACAGCCATTCTCGTCAAAGTGTGGTCAGAAATTGGATCACTATTAACAGACATTTGGTTGGTGGTTTTTTGGAAACGCGGGTTAGAGAAGTTAACGCGTCGGCTATTTTATCTTCGTTGCTTCCTGGTTGGAGGATCGAGACAAACTATGAGTTCGCTGATAATGGTAGGATCTGGCTCGTGTGGGATCCTTCTATCTCGGTGATGGTCTTCAAGAAAACCAATAAGTTTATTCACGATCTAGTTACAAATTTTTCCTTCTTAGCAACATTCGTCTATGCTAGTAATTTTGAGGTTCAAAGATTGAAATTATGGGACGATATCTCTATCATTCGTAATTCCTCTCCCGTTAGATTCAGGCCCTGGTTATTAGTTGGAGATTTTAACCAGATAGCATCTGTTTCTGAGCATTTCTCTGTTATTCATGCCTCTCTTCCTCTTCGTGGTATATCGCAAATTCAAGACTGTATGGAGGTCAATGAATTGTCTGATATGCCCAGTAGAGGTCTCTTCTTTACTTGGACTAACTGCAGACCGGAAGATCCGATACTACGGAAGCTGGATCGTGCTCTCATGAATGAGAATTGGTTAAACTCCTTTCCGGATTCTATGGCTCTTTTCGATCCACTAGGCGACTCGGATTATGCTCCTTGTTTGGTCTCTCTTGACAGTGCTGTTGGGGGTTCTAAAAAAAGCCTCAAGTACTTCTCCTTTCTGGCTACTCATCCTCGTTTTTCAACAGCTATCTCTGAACCTTGGAATGCACCTATGTTGGTGGGTTCGGCTATGTTTAAATTGAGCTCAAAGATGAATGCTGCAAAAATTCGTTATCGTCAGCTTAACAAAGAAGGTTTCGGGAACATACATCAACGAACCAAGGAGGCCTTGGAACATCTGGAATCTATTCAGAAGGACCTCCTTACTAATCCTTTGGATAATCTTTTTATAGAGGAACATGTTGCTAGGAAGAAGTGGAATTTTTTCGCTAATGCTCAGCAAATCTTTTTCAAACAGAAATCATGAGTCAGATGGTACAAGGAGGGTGATGCTAATACGGCTTACTTTCACAGAGTTTAAAGCTAACTTTGCCAAGAACTCCATCAGACATCTCAGAGACCACAATGATATAAGAGTGGATAATCCCTCACAGGTGAAGGATATGGTTCTCTCTTATTTCTCTCATCTTCCAGGGTCGGCAAGCACATGTGTTTCTCCTTATTCAGTGGATAAAATTAAGGAGCTGCTGTCCTTCAGGTGCCCGAATATATTAGTCCCCCAGTTGGTTGTGATTCATTCAGCGGAGGAGATAACTAAGACCGTGTTTCAACTTCCCAAGAACAGAGCTCCCAGACCAGATGGATTTTCCGTTGAATTCTTTAGAGACTCTTGGGAGACGGTGGGGACTGATTTGATAGCCGCCGTGAAAGAACTTTTCACTTCTTGTTCGCTTCTGAGGAAGTTCAACGCCACCACTGTGGTTCTTATCCCTAAGTCTCCGGGAGATGATCATCTTTCTCAGTTCAGACCTATATTGTGCTGCTCTACGGTATACAAGGTGATTAATCGGATTTTGGCAAACAGACTAAAACTGTTTGTCCCAGATGCGGTTCAAAGAAACCAAGTAGGGTTTGTTAAGGGGAGGCTTTTGTGCGAGAACGTGATCTTAGCTTCCAAACTCGTGGATGATTTTCATAAGGATGAAGTTTCTACAAGGGGTTGTCTTCAAATAGATATTCCCAAGGCCTACGACAATGTGAATTGAGAATTTTTATTCATTGTTCTAGAAGCCCTAGATCTTCCTCACATATTTTTGGGATGGATCAAGGAATGTGTCTCTACCGCTTCATTTAGCATTGCCGTCAACGGTGAGCTGGTGGAGTATTTTCCCGGGAAGAAAGGACTTCGCCAGGGAGATTCTATGTCATCGCAATTGTTTTTCCTCGCTTTGGAAGTGCTGTCTCAAAGTCTGGATCTAGGGGCAATCAACCAATATTTTACTCCTCATCCTAAGTGTGTTTCCCCTTTGATAACCCATCTCAGCTTTGCTGACGATATGTTAATTTTCCTCGATGCTTCCTCTGTCTCCCTGAATGGAATTCTTGCAATTTTGGATGAGTTTAAACTGGCATCTGGTTTGGGAATTAACAGGGCTAAATCTGCTGTTTTTATTGATGGAGTGGATTTTCAGGGTTGTCAGGTTTTAGCTGAGGGAACCGGTCTCCAACCTGGTTCTCTTCCTGTTAAATATCTGGGAGTTCCTTTAACAACAAGGAAATTGAGAAAACAGGACTATCAACCCCTGCTGGATAAGGTTTGTAATTGATTTGTCTCCTGGTCTGTGCGTCTTCTTCCCTTCGCGGACCATCTTCAGCTCATCCAGTCGGTCATATATGCTACCATCTCTTTCTGGTGCTCTATCTATCCCCTCCCGAACCAATGCTTGTGGATCTTGAATGCATGTGTAACACCTCTCTATGGAAAGGGACCCTGCTTCCTCTAGAGGTGCAAAGGTGGCTTGGGATTCTGTCTGCACTCCCAAATCGGCCGGAGGTCTTGGTTTAAGAAGGCTCGGAGATTGGAATGAGGTTCTCTCTTTGAAGCTAATCTGGCTTCTTTTCTCTTCATCTGGATCACTTTGGGTATCGTGGGTGAGACTAAATTTGATCCGTTATTTTAGTTTCTGGGATTTGTCTGCCACCGATGCTGGCAGTTGGGTGTGACGTTTCTTATGCAAACTTAGATCCTTGGATCGTTCATTCATTATTTGTGAAGTGGGATAAGGTATTACTGCTTCCTTCTGGCGAGATAACTGGACGGGTCTCAGCCCCCTCTTGGACATTACGGGTGACAGGGGTCCAAGGGTTTCTGGTCTTCCTCTTGAAGCCGTGGTTGCAAAGGCTATTGTGAATGGTAGATGGTGGATTTCGGATAGTCATAGCAGAAGTCTGATTATAGCAATCCTGCGTCAATGCCTCCCGGATTCTTTCTCTATTATCAGCTTAGAAGTGGATGACTTTTATAAATGGAAAGTGGGTTCTCTCCCTGCATCAGACTCTTTCTCCTCTGCTTATACTTGGACCTTTCTCCATCCCCCAAGTGAGACTGTCCATTGGTCTTCTTTTTTTTTTTGTTCAGCAAATGCATCTCCAAACACGCTTTCATAACATGGATTGCAGCGAGAAATAGGATGGTTACTCGGGACCGCCTCCGTGGTTGTGGTCTTACGGTACCATCGAATTGTTTGTTGTGTAATAACCATGATGAATCCTGCCAACATCTTTTCTTCAACTGCGAATTCAGCTCAACAATATGGGTTTTTTCACGGGCAAAGCAAACATCCTTCCTCCAGCGATCTTTGAGGATGCCATCGTATGGATGAATTTGCCGATGGTGAACAAAAATATCAGCCTTATCTTTAAATTGGCATTTCATGCGTCAATGTATGCCATTTGGAAAGAAAGAAATGCTTGGCTTCACACAGCAATTTCCCGCCCGTCTCTGGTAATTTTGGAGGAGATTCAGAAATTATCAAAAGCAAGTTATATCCTCTATCTAGAGCTCAAAGAAATCTTCCCTCAACGGTCTCATATCTAACCTCTTGGTTCTCAGTTTTTTAGAGTGATATCCTATCTCCTCTTGTATAGTCTAATCTGTAATATCCGCTAATGCTGGTTGTTTTGGGCCTTAACCCCGGTGGGGAATCTTGAAATATTTTTTTGGAATGAATGGAAATGAATGTTTTAAAAAAGGAAATTAATACCAAGATTGGAAAACACGGTGGCCGTAAATATGGATTCATGATTTTTAATCGCCATCCACCAACCACTAAACTATTTAGTGTTTAAAGGTAAAACAAGTCTGCGTACTATGTAAGTAAATAAATTTGGATAAGAACAAAATGTCCAAAAATAAATAAATTTTTGTTTTTTATGTCAACAACTTAAGTACCTAAAACAGTTCATTATACTTTTCACTTTATATTATAACATAAAAATAATTAAATAAAAATAACATAAAAATAATTAACTAACTAAAAAAAAACTAAAAAAGCATATAGAACGGATAACTTATATACAGTAAAAAATTTATAAACTTAACCCACACATAGAGTGTATCAAATTCTAGTATAAACTAAAAACATTATTTCAGAAAAATTAGAAGTCACTAACTAGGATGGGCAAAATTCTCGAACCAAACCAAATTCCCAAACCCGAACCAAAATTTTCGAACCAAAACTAAACTCAAATTATAAATTTACCCGAATGGACCATGAAATATTTATACCAAAATTTTGAAACCCAAACCAAACCGAACCCGAATTATATAAAATGGAATAGAATTAACCAAATTAACCTAACTAACCGAAATTCAAAAAAATAATTCATACTTTTAATTAAATATATATTAAAAGTATACTAAAATATCCTAAATATAAAATATTATGAAATTTAATTAGTTATTTATATTTTTGTCATAATAATTTTGTCGAAACCAAATCGAACCCAAACTAAAACCAAACCTAAACCAAACCAAATTATTAAAAACCGAATAAATCCAAACCGATATAAAACTTAATCCTGAATGGGACTTATTTTCTAAAATCCAAAAAACCCAAAAAAACAAAAAAAAAACAAAAAAAAACAAAAAAAACAAAAAAACTCAAACCGAACCGAACTAAATAACCGAATGCCCACCCGACACTTTTGAGTTTGGGGAACTTTTGAGTTATTGAGAATTCAGATCCCTTTTTTTAAGAATATGTTATCTTTTGGGGCACTTTTGAGTTATTAATACAAAAAAAACACTTTTTCTATTTGACACACTTGTTCCACTGTTTGCCATTTGGAAATTCCACTTTTCTCCCTTTTAATCATTATTAGATGTAGGTTTTGTTAGTGATTATTACTGAGCTATTCGCAGTAAAAAGACTACCGAAGACTTGCTTACTTTATATACTATTTTTCGACAACCAATATTCTGGCCATTCAAATTTTGCCGATTTCACATAGTATCCCGCTACTGAAATTGAAAGAGCGAGAGATCGAAGGTAAGCTTTTACACTCTATTTTCATCTAGATGTTTTTAAGAGTTTATTAACTCATTCCTAGGGAAACTTCTGAATCTTAACTGATTTTTGTTGCAAAAGTATGATCCAACCTGAGTTTACCGCGGTGATTGTTTGCAACCGACCGGTATCCCTGCCGCCGTTTGAACATCTATTCTAGACCTACGGATACCTTAATCCTCGTCCACGAAGCTTTACGAGGTACGCCAGAGTTTCATATAATCAAGTTTAATTACAACAAGACAATACTGGATTATATATAAATCGTTTATGTAACCAACTTGACAAAACGACACAACACAAACATAACACTAAAATCTCTTCACAATTGAATCCTTTTATTAATCTTCTTCTTCTCATTTGAAGTTTTTTTCTTTGTTACAGACTTGAATGATTCAATCTCTTCACTCTTGAATCCTTTGATTAATCCCATCACTTCCTCCTGATCCACTTCAATTAAGAATTTTAATCCCAAGACTTCCTCTTCATCAACTTCGCCTCTTCCCTTTGCGAATCCTTCTCACCAGGTTTGAACTTTGAATATGTTCCTTCCAATATAAGATATTTCATAAAAGCATCCAAATGTAAACTAAATCAGAGAAACCAAATATAAACCAATTCAGTGCAACCAAAATATAAACTTATTCATAAAGGCAAACAGATTTTTCACATAAAAAAGACAGAATTCGTAATAGCACACATAGAGTTTTTCATGCTCCAGCGTGCATAAACGCACACATAGAGAACACATAGAGTGTTAGGAAAAGCAGAGCTAGAGTTTTCATAAAAAAAAACGACTTCAATAACCGAACATAACCCAAACATAAAGGCAAATTCTTTTCAGGCTCCAGCGTGCTCCACAGCCCATGCACAAGCAGTTGCATCAAAAGCAGTCTTGTCTTCCACGTAGAGTTTGGCTATGTTTTCATCAAAGTAGTCTCCTTCACTTATTTCTGGG